CTTGGTAGCAACGAAGATGTCCTTCAGCAGGCAAATGGATGAACTGTGGTACATACAGACCGTGAAATATTATTTAACACTAAAAGAAATGAGCCATTAAGCCATAAAAAGACATGAACGAAACTTAAAAGCATATTACTAAGTACAAGCAGCTGATCTAAAAAGACTACATATTGTATGATTCCACCTATATGATATATGACATTTATATATATATCTGAAAATATATGAATAAATGAAAAATGAGTTAAAAAATAATGAAAAATGAAAAATATATATCTGAAAATAATGGTTTTACTTCTACCTTTCCAATCCATATATATATATATATATGGATTGGAATATATATATATATATATATATATATATATATATATATTGGAAAAGACAAAACTATAAGATAGTAAAAATAGGGGCGCCTGGGTGGCTCAGTGGGTTAAGCCGCTGCCTTCAGCTCAGGTCATGATCCCAGGGTCCTGGGATCGAGCCCCGAATCGGGCTCTCTGCACAGCAGGGAGCCTGCTTCCCTTCCCCTCTCTCTGCCTGCCTCTCTGCCTACTTGTGATCTCTGTCAAATAAATAAATAAAATCTTAAAAAAAAAAAAAAAGATAGTAAAAATATCAGCTGTTCCAGGGATTAGGGGGCAGGGGGACAGGGATAAAACAACAGAGCACTGAGAATTTTTAGAGTAGCTGAAACAAGTCTGTATGATACAGTAATGGTGGACACATGTCATTATACATTTGTCCAAATCCACAGAATGTGTAACATCAACAGTAACACTAATGTAAACTGTGGAGTACAGGTGATAACGATGTGCCAGTGTAGGTTCATCAATTCTAACAAATGAACTTCTCTGGTGGGGGATGTTAATGGGAGAGGCTATACCTATGTGGGGTCAAGTAGTATAAGGGAAATCTCTGTACTTTACACTCAATTTTGCTGTAAACCCAAAACTGTTCAAAATAAAAATAAAACATTCAATTTTTAAAGTATAAATAAAGACTTGAACAACAACTATATATATATATATATATATATATATATATATATATAAAATCCTCTCAGTTATCTATCACTGTATAACAAATAGCCCCAAAACTAATGGTTTCAAGCAAAAATAAACATTATCTCACATTTTTGTGGGTCACGAAGGAGCAGTTTGGTTGACTGGCACTGGTTCAGGTTGCAGTAGGAATGCTGGTTGGGGCTACAGTCATCCAAAGGCTTGACTGGGGCCAAAGGATTCCCTTTCACTATATCTCACTCACATGGCACTGGCTGGAGGCTTCAGTTTCTTGCTACGAGGACCTTGAATGCACTTACGACATTGCAGCTGGCTTCTACCAGAGTGAATGATCTGAGAAAGAACAAGACAGAAACCACAATGACTTCTATGCCTTAGAATCAGAGGTTATACATATAACTTCCATCATACCCAATTTATTACAAGAAAGTCACTGAGTCCAGCCCTCATTCAGGGAAGGGGAAAGAAGCTCTACTTCCTAAAGGAAGGGGTGTGAGCAAATTTGTAGATATATTTTAAGCTACCATAGAGACCATATTCACAAAAAGAAAAAAATGCACACACATACACAAACACATATAATATATTGAAAAAAGTCTTAAAGATAATTGAAAGTAAAAATACAGTCATTTAAAATTCTTTCTCCTTTTTACTTTATTTTACACTTTTTAAAAACAAACTTTTTTCATAGTCAGAAAAGGAGGGCACCTAGGTAGCTCAGTCAGTTAGGCATTTGCCTTCAGCTTGGGTCATGATTCCAGGGTCCTGGGGTTGAGTCCTGCACTGGGCTTCCTGATGGGCAGGGAGTCTGCTTCTCCCTCTGCCCCTCCTCCTACTCGTGCTCTCTCTCTGGATCTTGACCTCAAAAACAAATACAATCTTAAAAAAAGTAATTAAAAAAGGAAAAGTTTACAAATTTTACAAATTTACAGTCAGGGATATTTGTTGTCAATATAGTGAAACACTGTACTTAATCAATAAGTCAACATGGACAGAATCGATATCTTTATTTATCCTACTTATCCATGAATTTGCTATTTCTTTCCATTTATTTAGACCTTATTTAATTTCTCTTGATTATTGTAATTTTTTCTAAACAGACTGTGCACATCTTTGGTTGAATTTCTTCCTAAATATTTCATTTTCTCTGACAATATTAAAAATTAGTTTATTTTTGTTATAATATCTAGTTGTTTGTTGTTGCTGTAGAAAAATTAATATATTTGCAGGTAACTCTTGTATCTAGGCAACTCCCTAAAGTCTCTTATTACTTCTAATATTTTCCCTTCTAATATTTTATTCTGATCTTTTTACAAAAATAATCTTATTATCTGAAAATGATGGCTTTACTTCTACCTTTCAAATCCTCATATCTCTAATTTCTTTTTCTTTTCTTATTGCTTAAGGCTACAGACTCCAACATCATGTTAAATAAAAGTCATGATAATGGGTATTTTTGTTTCATTTCTTAATTAAATGAATGTGCTCCTAAAATTTCCTCATTAATGAAAATATCTGCTATAACTTATTAGTTTAAGGAAGTTGTCTTCTATTTCTAATTTACAAAGAGGAATTTTTCAATTGTGAATTCAACATTATCAAACTTTTTTCTGTTTTTAGTAAAATAATTACATGGTTTTTCTCATAATCCGTTAATGTGGGAAGTTACACTTACAGATATTTTTTAGTTAAGCCACCCTTTCGTACTTGAGTTATACCCAACTTTTCATGATATTGTTAACTTTTCATACACTATTGGAGTTAATTTGCTAATATTTTATTTGGAATTTTTGAATCTATTTTTTTAGTAAAATAATGCTGGAATTTTCTTTCTCTTAATGCATTTGTATTAGGATTAAGATTACTAATTTTGATTATCAAAAATATATATTTTGCGTAATAAAAAATGACACAAATAGTTTTAAAAGAAAGAAGCTGGGAGAATATATGTGCAAAATATATGACATAAAATTGGCACCCCAAATATATAAGTAACTCTCATAAATCAATAAGAAAAAGACTAACAACCAAAATCAAAAGGGCAAAGGACATAAAATGAAATTCACAAAGAAGACAACCTAAATATTTAATTATATTCATGAAATAGTATAAAAAGATTCTCAACCACACTATAGACTGGGACAATACAAATTTATACAATAAGTATATACCATTTAAAAACCCATTAGAATAACAAAACTTAAAATAAAAAAAGGAAGTTCTGGTGTTTAGACAATGTAAAAAAACAGGAATTCCATCACTGCTGGTGGAAGTGTTATTGGTACTACCAATTTGAAGAGCAATTTGGGAATATTTTGTGAAGTTTAAATATGCATGACTTATTTCCTAACAATTCTACTGCTAAAGAATCTGTCACTTAATATGCTCCAGAAGGGTGTAAAATTAGAACCTTAACAACCTTCCTTCAGTAGGAGGATGGCTAACTGAACTGTGAGAGATAAAATGAATAAACCTGCTTATATCTATATAATATATCTTGAAAACTACATATTGGGTAAACAAACACTAATGCTAGTGGGAAAAATAACATGTACAATATGTACAAAAATAATATGTACATATATTATTTATGGCTACAATTGAATGAGTTAAAATATAAAGCATGGATAGAAAAGATATACACCAACTTCATAAATTAGATGACTTCAGGGATGAAGAGAAAGGAATGGGGATGGACAAAGGGGTTTCCATTGGGACATTAAATGTTTAGTTTTTCAGTAGAAGAAAATATGACAAAATGTTAACATTTGTTGGGGTGTCCGGGTGGCTCAGTCTGTTGAGCTATGACTCTTGATTTCAGATGAGGTCATGATATTAGGGTACTGGGATCCAACCCGGGGAAGGGTTCTCTGCTCAACATGGAGTCTCTTGGGGATTCTCTCCCTCTCTCTCCCCTTGCTCAAGCTCTCTCTCTCTCTCTCTCTCTCTCTCCCCTCTCATAAATAAATAAATAAATAAATAAATAAATAAATAAATCTGTTTAAAAATGTTAACATCTGTGGGGCACCTGTGTGACTCAGATGGTTAATCAACTGCCTTGGGCTCAGGTCATGATCCCAGGGTCAAAATGGAGCCTGGAGGGGACTCTGTGCTCAGCAGGAAGTCTGCTTCTACCTGTACCCACCATGTTCTCTCTCTCTGAAATAAATAAAATCTTTCTTTTAATGTTAACATTTGTTAATTTGACATAGAGCATATTTTATAATTCTCTTTAGCTTTTTTCATGTTTTTTAAATGTTTCATAATTTAAAGAACTTCTTTAATACGTATTTGGTAAGTAGGGTATTATATTACCACTCTTACTGTCCTTGAAACCTTTCTCTATGTATTCCCTTTGTGATTGAATATTCCCTGGGCCAGTTTCCTCATCTGTCATACAAGGGTGTATAGGTGATCACTGAAGATTCTTTCTACCTCAGATACTCTAAGTGCTTTCCTTTTCCCATCCCCCTTACACTTCCCTCCTACCTGCTTTTAAGATTCACTACCTGAATCCATCAGCGATCCATCTCCTTTTCCACTCTTAAGTCTCCTTTTCTGAAAAGTCATCAGGAAACATTTAACCGAAGCATGCTTAGTAATCAACTTAGCTAAAACTCTAGAAAAGTTTTTGTTTGGTTGGTTGTTTTACATTTAAAATAAAAGTCCTACATGTTCATCTAGCATCTCTGATGCAGAAGATGTGTAGGGAGTAGGAGGAGGTGGTATTAAGTAAGAAACGATGCTCCACTGGAGCAGAGGTACTACTGCGTTCTTACCTGGACGTCAGTCTCCAGCCAAAAAGCTGCTAACTGTGGGATGGACTCAAATGAAGGCACCGTAACTCTTTTCACAATCTGGGCAAGGCAGCGTGGGGCGGAACACACTGTACTTTCCAACTGGAGGTAGGGTGGAAAAGGAGGGTGCAGGGAAAGAGGGCTGCCCACATCAGAAACATCCTGTAGCATCCCCTCGTATTAGGAAGGTGCATTGGCTGGGCAAGCTCCCGGAAGAAAGCGCCCCGGGCTGCTGCTGTAGCCGAGGGAGCTCTGAGCTGCAGCCCGCGCGCCAGGGGAGCCGAGGAGGTGGGGCCAGGGGCGACCGCCGGACCGCTCGCTCCCCTCTCCCGTCGCGTGCGCGCGTGCGCGCGTGCGCGCGAACTCCAGCTGGAGGAGGTCGCCGAGGAGGATGGTCAGGCTTGACTAGGCTACCGAGGCCCTCAAGCCTTCCACGTGCTGAGGACTCTGTAGCGGCCATGGGCTACCAGGCACAGGGGCCCGTCATCCCGCAGCAGGTAAAGCCGGGACGTGGGGCAGCTTCTGAAGCCAGGTCCTTTCCAATTTCATTCAGCCTGCAATAGAGAGCCGCTGACTTCACCGGAGTCTTGGTTTAGCACCGCGGAAAGTTCTCCAGGAGAAAAAGTTTTGCCTCCATCTTTTTTTTTTTTTTTCTCGACAGGCACTTTTCAATATAACCCCTTTAATTTCACAAAATCGCATCATTGACTCCCTAAACAGATCCTGTATTCTGGGATTCCGTGCGGCAGCCCTTGAACTTGGCGCAGCTGTAATTGGGACATTTTAGAATGGAGTTTGTCTACAATGCTCTGTTGAATTACCTGTTACTCTTAGTCATTATGTTCTTATAGTTACTGACATTACTAATTATTACTACTAATGTCGTGTGGGTGTCCTGCATTGCGTATTTGTCTGACACTTTTCTAATTTTTTGACCTAGTGAATATTTAATTGCCATCTTATATATTAAAATAGAGCAATCTAGATGACAGAGAAACCCTCGTTTCTGAACAGAAGCACAAAGGGAAAACTTATCACCAGTTCACAGCTGTTTTTAATGTTGTCAACTCGATTATAGGATCTGGTATAATAGGTAAGTGTTGTTTTGTTTTGTTTTGAATTTTAAGTGAAAAGACGAAATTTAAAATGCTTACCATGTTACTAGCATTGATTATTTTTAAGGAAAAAAATCTTAAATAATAAAGTTGGTAATTTTTCCCATTAAAAACCTTCCTTTTTTCCCAGTGTAACTATGTGAATCATACCAACGTCTTTTATGCTGAGATGGGACTGTGATTCAGACTTTTTCCTCATTTGAGAGCATCCTTCGTATGTGATAGATTAAGGTGGAACTGCATATGGGATATGCCAAATTTATTTTTATGGGTTATATGGTCAATTGATAATACTACCTAATATACTTTTTCCCTTTTCCTGAAATATCTACCATTACTTAAACCACCTTTCTGTGACCTTCTAGAGTGTAAATCTCCAGATATTTGGAAGTATTGAAGGTACATAAGTTTAATGTGAAAACAACAGTCTTGTGAAAATTAAATACATAACAGTATTTCCTTACCTATCTATACAGTTTTAATTTTAAAGTACAAACTTATAATGATATATTAATTTAAAGTATCACTTAATCAATAAGTAGATATTGGTTAAATGAAAATGCATAGATTATTTTATTTATCAAAGGAGCCAAATAATCAGTAGATTATTCATTGTAGACAACGAGCATGAAAGAAATGAGCAGCTCATATTTTCCCAGTTTGAACCAAGAGGAAAATTCTGACAAAATAAAGTGTGTTGCATTATAGTAATTAAGGCAATTATTTTTTCAGTGCTGATTTATCTTTTTTTAAGATTTTAATTATTTATTAGAGAGAGAGTGTGTGCACAAGTGGTGGGGGCAGCGGGAATGGGAGAAGCAGGCTCCCCTCTGAGCAGGGAGCCTGATGCAGGGCTCCATCCCAGGACCCCTGGATCATGACCTAAGCTGAAGGCAGACACTTAACCAACTGAGCCACCCAGGCACCCCTAATTATTCTTTCTTTTATTTGAAAAACCCAATTTAAGAAAAAGCAAGGACAAAACAAAATCCTGCAATATGCATTAAGAACACTACTTTTTCCTGTAAAGTTTTAACATTTTAATTACAGTCATCACTGAACATTTACCTGAATTGAGTTACTTTTTTCACCTTTTGCAAGCTGATGTGTTTCTTGATATTTCCTGCTTCCATATACAGACATTCTTTTTAATGGCACATAAAGTAGAGGTACGTGAGGCAAAGTAATCAAGTAGGGGCAAAGATTTGTTTGAAATTCTACCCCTATGGATTAGGGAGTTGTAGACAGCTCTACCTGGCAGAATTCCAGAGTTAATTCCTGAAGTTTAAGCTGATTCATGTCAGCAACATTAAAAAATATCTCTTAATTATGTTCAGCAGATTTTTTTTTTTTAAGATTTTATTTATCCATTTGACAGAGATCACAAGCAGGCAGAGAGGCAGGCAGAGAGAGAGGAGGAAGCAGTCTCCCCGCTGAGCAGAGAGCCGGATGCGGGGCTCGATCCCAGGACCCTGGGATCATGACCTGAGCTGAAGGCGGAGGCTTTAAACCACTGAGCCACCCAGGCGCCCCTGTTCAGCAGATTTTTAAGGGAAATTTTTCCAGAGAATAAAAGTTCTGGGTGGATATATTTTAAATATGTTTTATGTTAAATATTTTATTGCCCATAATCTAAAATTGACCATTTCCAAAAGAAATTCATAAGAAATACTTTCATATACCCCTTCAGATTTATTAAAAACACTTTTGCTATGCCCAGGTGGCTCAGTCCATTAAACATCTGCCTTCGGCTCAGGTCCTCATCCTAGGGTCCTGGGATGGAGCCCAGGGTAGGGCACCCTCCTCAGCGGGGAGTCTGCTTCTCCCTCTCCCTCTGATCTTACTCCTACTCCTGTTCTTGCTCTCTCTCTTTCTCTCTCTCAAATGAATAAATAAATCTTTTTTTTTTAAATATATAAATAGTAAAAAAAAATTAAAAATTATTAAATAATAAAAAATACTTTTGCCTTCTCATTTTTCTCTCCTGGTTACCCACTTTGATTCTGGAGTCAGTCTTTCCTTACATCCCATAATCCTTTCGTGCTCTTATTTCTGCTTTCCCAGCTAGTGTGTAAGGAAAGCTTTAGTTCATTACTTTCTGTATATTCAAGTTTATATTCCCTCCTGAGCCTGAAGTGAACATTATTTGTGTGAACTGGCATCTGTTTTTCATTTGCTCCTTTCTTATTCTTATTCCATCGCCTTAAGAACTTGCTCTCTTTTTTTTTTTTTTTTAAAGATTTTATTTATTTGTCAGAGAGAGAGAGGGAGAGAGAGCAAGCACAGGCAGACAGAATGGCAGGCAGAGGCAGAGGGAGAAGCAGGCTCCCTGATGAGCAAGGAGCCCGATGTGGGACTCGATCCCAGGACGCTGGGATCATGACCTGAGCCGAAGGCAGCTGCCCAACCAACTGAGCCACCCAGGCGTCCCAAGAACTTACTCTCTTGACCTGTCCTTAGCTTGCATTTTCTTCTGAAATAACATTAATATGTTAACATTTAATTTGAGTAGCTGTATGCACTGTTTACAACCATGTCCTATAAAATGTCAATTTACTTAGCCTGTTATATACAGGAATTGGGGGGAGGCTTCTATATTTCTATATGTTTTATTAATGTGGTGGGTGGGGCGTTTTATATTTTTCCAGGATTGCCTTATTCAATGAAGCAAGCTGGTTTTCCTCTGGGAATACTACTTTTATTCGGGGTTTCATATGTTACAGGTAAAATACTACATAATTGCTTTTTCCTGCAACTTAAATTATGCAATGATGATTACACACACACACACACACACAAAATAATTGAATTTCCTAATTAAGAAGTGCATCAAATAACTCTAAAGAATTCAGACATTTACATCTGAGAAGATTTACTCTTCCTGCTAATCCTCTGAACAGATTAGAAAAGCATTATATATTACCAAGCCTAAATCCTTTTCATGTGCCTTTTTCACTTTATGCATAGAATGGTAGACGGGGGAGCCATTTTAAAGGCTGATTAATGCTGAAAGAGACTGCTTTGAAATTGTAGACAACCAGGCCTTCTTTTCCCACAAAAACCTTAAGCAAGTGTACATGAATGAGCAACATTTTCTAGCAATTTTGGTGCAGGTACAACTGAAAGGGCTGGTGCTCAGCCAGCTGGGTTTACCACCCACTCCCCACCTCTCCTGTGCCTGCCCAGCCTCTCTGCCTGCCACTATCTTTAAGCAATAAGGTGCTTCTGTATCACTTCTGCTTTCCTCTTCCCGTGTAACCTGTTCGTTCACACTCATGTTTTGCCATTCCTCCATCTGAGTGCAGGCTTTACAACTCGTAGTCACCTCCTCTTTCTGCTGTTCTCATCCCTGCCCTGTCATACCACCAGCGCACCTCATGACAACCACAGGGTCCTTCCTCTACCTTAGAATTACTGTAGAAAAGGCAGTGATCACAAACAGATACCACCTGCAGTGGTTCTTTTTACGGTGGCCACTATGTGTGGTCACTTAGGTGCCCTTTTACCGGGGAATGCAAAACACCCCAGCCTTGTTTTTTCAGTGTTGACCTGGCTCTCGATGGCACCAGCTTCCTGTGAAGTTACAATCCCCAGCCACCATTTCCCCACAGCCTTCAGCTAATGACTGTCTATTAGGAACATAAAAGCTGTGTGCGCGCGTGCGCACACACAGGCACACCTGCGCCCCGAGAGACCAATGCGTGTTGCAGGTGCAGCTACTCTCCATCAGAGACAATCTCCATGCCGAACTGTTTCTCCAGCCCTAACCTGTCACTCCCATTCTCTTGAAGAGCTTTCCTCAAAGTCCCGCGTCCCACGAATCTCTGACTCAGCTCTGCTTCCAGAGACCCTGATGGAGATGCCATGTCCTCATAAAATCTCAGGTTTTGAAGGCCAGCCTGTAACTCTGCCATTTTTTCCCCCTCAGGCTGAGGAAGAGAGAATAAAGCATGCTATAGATACCCAAAGCACTGGACTGCCTTCCTCCCTCCTTTCTTCCCACCTCCTGTTCTCCCTAAACCTAAACTACTTTGAGCCTCTACAGCTCTTACTTTGTCACTTAACATCCATAACGTAGTAACTTGGGATCTCTAACACTGCTTATTCAGGGTTGTTGGTGTTTAAAAACTGCACTCCATTCACGAGAGCATTCACCACACTAAAAAATCCCACTCAAGGATTACCCTTGTCATTTTTAATTTCCTGTTTCCCAGTCAGTCAGCACTGACAAATAATTAATTTCCACCCGGGCATAATAACCATGGCTTATTTAAGTACATAGTAAACATTTGCGCACACTGTAAACTGTAGGGAAAAAAAATTTTAAATGTGTATCACCTAAGAATTAAATAGTTGAGGTGAATTAAGTCACATTATACACAAATAAATCATAATGTGAATAACTTTCTCAACTAATGCTATGCATATACTTGCAGCAATGACTGTGAGCAGCCCTTTGAAAAGTTATATATTGCAAATTTATTAATCAGTAAAAATTACTCTTGTTAGTTCAGTTGCATGATCAAAATCTTTAAATGATTTTGATGAATAAAGGATGACCACACAGAAGCAATAAAATGCATAGACTATGATTCATTTTATTTCTTAATTAGGCTTTTAAGAGGAAAATCTACAAGTAAGGTATAATATTAAATCTTTCTTTAAATTGACACTTTAATTACACATTGGTTTTTCTCTATAATTATTATTTTGTCTTTTTAAGTCTCTAATGAGATATGTTCAGCTCAGCAGCTAATTTTTCTAAGGCCTATTTTCATGTTTGTGAAATGTTATGGAATAAGAACAAATTATTTACAAAAAATGTTTCTTTTAATTTATGATTTTCATATTTGTTGGTTAGAGTGTAATAATTTTTATTGTCCAAACGTACATACTGATATGTGTGAAATGATAGAGCTATTGGCATTTAACCCAGTCTCAAAGAAGCAAGTATGTTTTGGGGACAAGGAGGCACCTCCACTGACTGTTTATTACCGAGCAAAGAAAATGGAAGGGCACTCTGAGGAGATGGAAATGTAGAGATGCGTAAGAGAACTGTGTGAGTGATTCCATCTGCTTAAGCATAGGGTTGATGTTTGTGAGTGGAGAGGGAGGAAGTTAGAGGTTTGCAGAGGCATTTATGAAGGCTCCCATGTAATGATAATCATTACCACATCCTGAGGACTAGCTTGATGCTGAGCATAATGCAGCCACTGTATCTAATCCTTCTGACTTCATGAACTAGGTGTTCGTGTTCTACTTTAGCGGAGAAGGAAACTGAGACTTTAGCAGGTTGAAATGACTTGCCCAGAGTCACCAGTTACTAGCAACAGAGTTGAAACTTTGATTAAGTGCATGGATTTTGGAGCCAGACTACCAGGATCTGAGTCCCAACTCTTCCTTTCTAGCCCTGTGAAGTTCAGCAATTTGCTTAGCCTTCTGTGCCTCACTTTTCCCATCTATTAAAGGGGGGAATGGGAGGTAATAATTGCACCTACTTAGAGTTGTTGTGAAGCTTAAGCAAGTTAATATGTATAAAGCATTTAGAAAAAAGCTTGGCACGCAAAAAGTGTTATAAAAGTATTTGCTAGTATTTTTGTGGTTCTTCTCATCGTTATTATTATCAGACTCCAGATACGGTGCTTTCTCCACCACCAGATGCAGCCTATTGAAAATAGCCAAAAGTAACACCAGTTCTCATTCATTTAGCCTCCATAACATGCCAGGCATTGTGGTAGACAGATACATCATAATATTCACAGACTTTTCAAGGTTTGGTGTATGGTTTTACTTTACAGAAGAGACTCAAGAAAGTCAAATTTTTCACCCAAGATCACATAACTAATAAATAATTTTATCTGCCCCATGAAAAGGATTATTTTATCTGAAAGTATTAGAGGATTTCCCTGGAGGATTTTAAGCAGAAGACAAGGTCAGATCTATTATGGTATGGTCAGATGCATCTGGTAGAAGAGGGATGTCAAGAAAATCTTGGTAGGGTGGGAATGTTAAAAGTGTTTTGAAGGGAGGCCACATTGGTGGATGAGAGAATAGGTGTTTTCACAGTAATCTAGGCTAGAAATGATAAAAACCCTAAAATAGAGTAGAGATTAGAAATGAGGGGATATCATTGAATAATCTATGATGCAATTGTTAATGGATTTAGTGACCAAAAGAAGGTAGCAGGTAATGGGTAATGAGAAGTCTAGGGTGATACTCAAATTTCTGTTGGTACTGTTCACAGTTTGGAGAAATAAGATGGAGAAGCAGGTTCCAGAACAAATATATAAATTAGAATTCAGACATTTGAATTTGAGATATCTTTGAGATCTCCAAGATAAATGTTCGTTAGATAGCTAGATATAGAAATTTGGAGTTTGGGAGGAGTCTGGGTTGAAGATGAAGTTTGAGGAATTAATAACATCTGTGTGAAAATTAAAGCTGCAGGCATGAATAAGATCATAGTAGGACATTTGAAGAGTGAGAAAAAAGTCCAAGAATCCAGGTTTTCAACAGAGTAAAAGAAACCGATGAAAAACTATATGATTGTTAGAAAATGTAGGAGGAAATCCAAGAGAAAGTGATGTCACAAAGACCAAGGGAAGGTGATTGAGGAAGAGGAGAATAGTAAACAGAAAAAAAAAAAAGTGCTACCGAGGTAGCAAATTAGATTAAGATTTAGGAGGTGTCAATTTGATTTATCAACTTGGAGCTCATTGGTGAATTTGTTGAAAGACAATTCAATGATTTGGGAGGGAATCAAGGTGGAAAACACATTATAATGATTTCTGTTTTCTTCTTTGTATTTTAATGGATTTCCAAATTATTTAAAGGATAAAAAAAAATCAACGGTGATGGAAGCATGAGCAAGAGAAAAGAAAAAACAAGAATCACACCCTGTGCATAGCTGTGTACCCAATACAACTTAAGTGTCATTCTCTTAACCATAGCTATAAAAGGGAGCTACTAGTAGTACTTCATTATAAAACAAATGATCTGATTCTCCTCAATCTATTTTTTTTCTGAATGCTTACATCATTTTTCATTCTCGGTTTTCACACATTGAACGTTTATGATATATTTGATTACCTACATTCTGCTGCTTGGACAGCTGAGCTGCAGCCTGTTAATAGTTGTTACACTAGCTGGGTTGGGAAAGTAAAACCTGATGCTTTGACTCTAGTCTGCATACCCTCTTCTGTCCAGGTCATTGCACAGATATGTTAAGTGTATTTGCAACTCAACTGAAAAATACATAACTGGAAACACTACTGTTTCATGAAAGGTAATGTTTTATGAAAGGAAAGTAAGCCTTGCCAAGCCAACTGACTGTAGCATTAAACTGAACTCTTCAAAGTTTCTTTCTTTAAGTCAAAACACAAAAAACTTTTGTATTAAATGTAGTCTGACGTTTGTTTAATGGCTGTTTTTGCCACAGACTTTTCCCTTGTTTTACTGATAAAAGGAGGGGCCCTCTCTGGAACAGACACTTACCAATCTTTGGTCAATAAAACCTTCGGCTTTCCAGGATATCTCCTCCTCTCTGTTCTTCAGTTTTTTTATCCTTTTATTGGTAAGTTGAATGTGAAAATGGAAAGTGTAACTCTTTCATAAACATATAACTATTTCTTTAGAAGGTAGTTTTAATAGGAGATTAAAAGTGAATGGGTAAAATTATAGATTTCTTCCGAAGCTGAAATATGTTTTTTTTTGAAAACCTAAGGGTTTGTGGAAGGCATGTGCAAGGCCAACTTGTAGTTTAAATCTGCACTGTAATGGTGGACATGTCCCCTAGCACTTCTTACATAAATTGTTAACATTCAACAACTACCAAATTGACATCATTTTTTAAAATCAGTAATACAGAAGCTATTGGTCAAACCATTAGCTCCTTATGTCTCCACGGAAGGCTAAGAATGTATTTCCCCAAAATCTGACTTTTTCAAATGAGTGAATATTTGGGAGCCTTCACAGTTTTCTATTATTGTTCCTCACTTAGAGCAACGTGTGTATTCCTGAAAACATATGTGGAAACTGAACTTTAATAACAAAAATCACATTTTAAATGACTACAGAAACTCGCTGTTAATTAAAGTTGTTCTGGAAAGAATTCATGAAGTGAAGATGTTTTTGTAACATAAATTGATATTCTCCCATATATTTGTTGACTAGTTATTTTTGAAATTATACATATTTATACTCACAATATATATTTGAAAGAAGTAGGATTATGCCAATATTTGGGAGTAACTGATTACTTTCAAAATAGCTTAAGGGTATTAAGGAGGGCACTTGTGATGGGCACCAGGTGTTGTATGTAAGTGATGAATCACTAAATTCTACACCTGAAACTAATATTACACTGTATGTTAACTAACTGGAATTTAAATAAAAACTTGGGGAAAAAAATAAAGTGTTAAATGCAAAAAAAAAAAAATCAAAATATTCATGATGAAATATATGCTGGCTTCTTGGTGACTGTATTGTTTTAATTATGTTTTTAGCTATGATAAGTTACAACATAATAACTGGAGATACTTTGAGCAAAGTCTTCCAAAGAATTCCAGGAGGTAAGTCCATGTACTTATTTTATGTGATATTCATAGTTAATGTGGTTCATAATAATTTACAACCAAAATACTTACAAGTGTAAGAGTTGGATGACTTCAAGTATCTAGCAATATCCATGATCCATTCTGATCCTAAAGCATTAATCTATTTTTTTAAAGATTTTATTTACTTATGTATTTGTCAGAGAGAGAGAGGGGGAGAACACAAGCAGGCAGAGCAGCAGGCAGAGGCAGAGAGAGAAGCAGGCTCCCCGATGAACAAAGAGCCCAATGTGGGACTTGATCCCAGGACCCTGGGATCATGACCTGAGCCGAAGGCAGCAGCTTAACCAACTGAGCCACCCAGGCATCCCTCAGCATTAATCTATTTTTATAGATAGTTTAGTTCTTATTTAGCTGTTTAAAGGATATCATTACAATTCATCTTATGCTATATATCACCAACTCTATGTAGTAACATTTTTCATGTACTGTTTTTACTATGCCACTTCTAAAATAAGCAAGCTGACTTTTTTCTCCATTATTTGTATTAAGATATAATATAATATAGTAAAAATTAGCCCTTTTTATTTTATTTTTTTTAAGATTTTATTTGTTTATTTGACAGACAGAGATCACAAGTAGGCAGAGAGGCAGGCAGAGAGAGAGAGGAGGAAGCAGGCTCCCTGCTGAGCAGAGAGCCCAATGAGGGGCTCGATCCCAGGACCCTGAGATCATGACCTGAGCTGAAGGCAGAGGCTTAACCCACTGAGCCACCCAGGCACCCCAAAATTAGCCCTTTTTAATGTTTAGTTCTGTAACATATAGTGTAACAAATGCTTATAGTCACATATCCACAACTACAATCAAAATACAGAACAATTCCTTTATCCACGCTCCAAAATTTTCCTTATTTCCCTGTGTACAAACCTTCTGTCATCTACAGCTCTGGGCAACCACTGATCTGATTCCTCTCCCTGGTTTTACTTTTCCCAGAATGACAAATAAATGGCATCATATAGCACGTACCCTTTCACGCCTGGCGTCCTTCACTTAGTATATTGCATTTGAGATTAATCCAAGTTCTGCATTGTATCAGAAGTTTGCTCCTTTTTTTTTTTTAATTGCTGAAGAGTATTCCATCATATGAATGTACAACAGTTTATCTGTCCCCCAATGGAGGGACATTTGGGTTGTTTTGTTTGGTATGATTCTGAAAAACCATTTTGAACATTTCAAGCAGACCTTTTCAACATGTGGCACAACCCCATTCCCTCTTCAGCCTTTCACCATATCATGGCAGTTTGAATAATTCCAAGATCATGAGTCTTTTTGTTTGAAGAGCTTCTCACCACACTACACAATCCTCATTTCATAGTGACCTACTCTATAGCTGTTATCATAGTTGAAAATGGTAAAAACACCTTTCCTCTTAGTCCTGAATCACTCCTTCTAGAGACAAACTAACCAAAATAAAACAAAACCTAAAACTAGAAATTGTACTTATTCCTTTCATAGAGTTTAGTGGAAACGGAAATCAGGGAGACTTGAGCATCCAGTCACAGAGCCACTGCTTGCTTGCTGTGTGACCTTAAGAAGGTTAATGCCCTCTCTGAGTTTTAGTTTCTTCATCTCTGAATAATGGAGTATCACCTGCTTCATAGAATTATTGTGTGAAACAACAGAGGTCATACACACAGCGCTTGGCATGTGGTAGGCTGTCCCAACGCCGTTAGCTCTTAGCAACATCTTCCATTCTAGCCACCAACTACAAATCTTGCTTTCATAAACTGAGATCATGAGAGTAGATAGAATGCTAAGGAAAAATGCAAAGAATATACTGTCATATATAAAATTTGACCTAATTATGTAAATTTTCTATTTTCATAACCAACTAAGGAAAAAACAAGAAAAAATATATTCACATGTAAACTGTGATTATCTTTTAATTACAGGATTCATGAGATTTTTATTTCCTTTGTCTTCTTGGTCTTTCAAAGGAGCATATATTAATTTAGAAAAATCTTGTTATCACTTTATCTTCATTTAAAATGCTTATTAAGGTGTATTATTTGTTAGAAGATCAGGATAAATAATAGATCTCACCATTAGATCCTTATTTAAAAATGTCCTTTATGGTAATAGAAATCCTTTGTTACTAGCCTCCTCTCTGCTATTCATAGCATTCTATTTCAGTGCTTTTCTAGGACTTAGAATTTTCTTAGTGAAGGAAATCTATATTTTCTACCAAACATATTGGTAAAGCAAATGATTTGAAAGGGTAAACAGAAACAAATAGGCAAGTAATTTAATTCAAATTATGCTCACCAGAAATATGTAAATAGTTGAGTTCAAGGTTTCTGGAACTTGAACTTCCTGTTTTAGTGTTTTGATTCACAACTTTATGATGATTGTTTAGTTATATCTGAGTTAAGCAAATATTCATGATTATTTTATTACACTATATATATAAGCATGTCACATTTACACTACTTTGAAATTGTATCTGGAAACGTCCCTGTAAGTGAGGTTATTAACCATATGAGAAAATTAGTCTCACTTAATTTTCCCAGTAATAAGTTTCTTTCTTTTTTATCTTTTTTTTTTAAGATAGATTTATTTGTTTATTTATTTATTTGACAGACAGAGATCATAAGTAAGCAGAGGCAGGCAGAGAGAGAGGAAGGGAAGCAGGCTCCCTGCTGAGCAGAGAGCCCGATGCGGGGCTCGATCCCAAGACCCTGGGATCATGACCTGAGCCACCCCAGCGCCCCTCTTTTTTTTTTTTTTTTAACCACATTCACTTGCTTATTCTGTAGACTTTAGACTTTGCAGAAATAAATGAACAAAGACTTGGTACCACTGGGGACATTTCCCAAACATAATGATATTCCTTCTTTGAAGGAATTCAATAGGAGCTAAAAAATGTAAGCAGTGGTATCTTCCTTGGAATAGCTATATAGCTATATGTACTTAAGACTGTGATTAGCACAGCCTTAAAAATATATAAATCCTTGGAAGTTTGTCTTATTTTATGTTTACAACTTTTGCTTGTATTTTATGATAGGTGCATGTGCACATACAGGTACAAACCGCCTCCCCAACAATACACAATTATGTACTCATTGGGACAGCCAAGACTCTGCAGTGGATACTGCTTTCAGCAGGGCTTCCCGATGGCTTCCCTATTTTGCTTCTGTCTACTTCTCTTCAGGGAAACCACTTCTTTCTCAATAAAAGTATAGAAATAGAATATTTTTATCTAAGGCTCCAGTCTTGAAGTTTTAAGCCCTACTGTTTCAATCTCTCTAGGATGCAGAATTTAAATTAAAAAAAAAAAAAAAAAAGAGGCTCAGAACATGCCCTCTTTTCATGTAGCTTACTTCCTAGAAAAAGAATTTGCCATTAGAGGGTTTTAGACAAAGGCTGACATCGTGTTTTTAAATCTCTGTACCTTCTAGGTTAAAAGTATATTCTAAGGGGACAACGGAAGGGTAGAAGCAGGAAGACTGATTAGGAAGCTCAAAATAATTTGAATGAAAAATATTGTAAGATTATTTGAACTATAGGTTCACCCTTAAGTTATATTGTATTTACATTTTTGTGAGTTATTTCAATTTTTACATGGTTTTGTGGGATTTATTTACTCAAAATCTTTGTCATTTAGATAACATTTAGTTATTTAAGTCCTTTTTGCCCTTAAATATTTGGCTGTTTCCTTGTATGGCTGGTGTGTTAACTCATACCTATAAAGACTTTATAATATTTATTGTGTTTTAGTTGACCCTGAAAACTTGCTTATTGGTCGCCACTTCATTATTGTGCTTTCCACGGCTGCCTTTGCTCTGCCTTTGTCCTTGTATCGAGATATATCGAAGCTTGGAAAGGTAACTTACATCTTAAAAAGGCTCAGAAATGCACTTTGTTACCCTGCACTGATTTTGTCAAACTTCTGTCTATGTGGCCAAGTTCTTAATTATAGTATTTGTCTTAGTTTCTTTCTTACCTTTCTTTCTAAGGTATATACTCTGATGTCAGACACCATACTTCCAATTTAGAAAATAAAAAGAACTATACTTACACCAAGTCTAATTTACTGAAAAAATGTTCTATCATTTTTTATGGATAGTGGTTTAAACAATTTAAGTTAGACTAAGTATAAGAAGTAAGGATGAATCACTTCACTGGCTCAAAATTTTTTTGTAAACTACGGTGTATTTTAAGTATCAATATGTCATGGCTCAATTCACGAGAATTTGGTCAGTGTATACGAATCTTATTGCTAAAGAAAAATGATGATGCATTTCTAATGAAACCAACAAAATAATTCTTTAACTACCATAAGGTATCATTAGCCTTTATCTATCCATATTTTTATTTCCTTACTCTAAAGGAGTGTTTGTATTTTATGCAGAATATTATTGGCATTATATCTACATTATGCCAAGCACCCTGATGAGTTTTTTAAAAGGGCTCTTTATATATTTTTATGTTCTAATTTGAAAAGTTAAGTGGAAAAAAAAAAAAAAAAGAAAAAAGAAAAGTTAAGTGAATTTTACTTTTCACTGTGATGTTTCATGTGTATCCACAGTTATGGATCCTTCCTTAAGGATCTTGTTATTGGTCCTATTACCCATGGTCCTTCCAGGTAAAGCTGAGAGTGAGAAGATACTCCAAAGTATTCTGACCACTCTACCTTTGTTCCCTAACAGACTTCCAGAAATAAATAAGAGTTCATCAAAAGCAGCTTTTTTGTGAATTATCTGAAATGCTCAACAATTTTCCATTTCCCATGTTGTAGGCATAAATGTTATCTTCTGAGAGCAGAAGGCCAGGCATTCATGAAAAGAAAGCTAATATTCTATCATATTACTAATACCTAAACATCTTTCCCTAAGTGTTCCTTAAAAGTGTCATCTTGGAATATTGAAGTAAATCTCCCAGTGAGTAAACCTAGAGCAGCTAGGAGCCCTGATCTGGAGTCAGGGTGCTTGCATTTGAATTCTTCTGCCGCATTCTGTGTGACCTTGGAAATGTTACTTAAAATCCCTTCCTCTGTAGATCAGAGGACTCATTACAGAACATTCCTTCTAGTTAAAAACCAACAACCCAGGAAACAAGGTTAATGATAACCAAATGAAATAAAAGCAAATTTACATTATGTTTTTCTTATTAGAGAAAGAAGTCAAAAATGTGCTCATTTATTAAAAACAATTAAGGGCAGAAACACAGATATAATAACAAGTGCACAGAACACATACACACAGACCAGTTTATATTTTAACCAGTTGAAATAGTGACAGACTAGAAAGGAAAAAGCAAAGACTTTAGAAACACAGACCAAAGGGCAAAATCAAATAGGAAAACTAGACTAAAAGAACTAGAGAACAGAAGGGAAAAAAGAGAGGCACCCCAAAAGTGTGTGTGAGTGGGTGTGTGTCGGGGGAGGGTGTGTGTCTTGATAGGGGGAGGGTAAGGTAAAGACAAAAGCAGAAGAAGCAAGTATAGATAGGAAAAAAGCACAAGTCAACACCAAAATAGGACTGAGGAAGAAAGAAACAACTTTCATTTGAATTTTATAAACTAAAACCACCAGTTTTGTTTCGTATTCAGTAGGCCACTAAAAACATTTAAAGCCATGTTGCAAGATTAGTCATATATGATACTTGCCTCCCTATTTGGGGGGAAAAAATGATACCATTTTCAATAAAAAGTTACATGCCTGAGATTATCAACAACGGTCTATAAGAAAAAACTACTACAGGATTGTCTAAACAAAAGCTGTATATATGTTTACTCAAGTAAAAAGAGAAACATCTAATATTTTCAATACAATAATCTCTCTTCCAAACAGATAATGCCTTTACATTTTCTTTTGCAGATCTCTTTTCTTTCTACAGTTTTAACAACGCTGATTCTTGGAATTGTAATGGCAAGGGTAGTCTCATTGGGTCCATATATGTAAGTTTTGTTGCTATATTGGTTAGTCTTTACTTTATAGCCTTCACATAGATATTTATATGACATATGGTAAATGCTGAAGTATAAAGTAATTATGGTACCAGAAGCACCATTTATCTTTAGTATTTGACAAAATGAGAGAAGATAATTACATCTACACAGACAGGCATTTTCCATTTGGCCCCTCTATGGCTGATGAAATTAAACTGAGTTTACTTTGTATGTTAATGACCGGTCCTAAGAATTAGAATAAGGAAGAGATTTCGAATAGTGAGACATAGGAATGAAGTGTAGAGCACTTGGGAGGGAAAATGGTAAATGGCAGAAATTTTTATATCTATCCCAGAGAGGGATTTGTTCTTAACAGAGTTTCACCAATATAGGCTGAAATGAGAAGAATAAAGAATATAGTGGAAGTTTTCTCCATTAGAGGACATGTAATCACTTGGCAAACCACCCTTTATTCTCTACTGAGGTTATATTCTTTGATTATTTTGTGTTAAAATGCTTTTGTCATTTGTGAACTAATGGCGGTAGCCTGTGAATGTTGCCTGTGAGGGGGGAAAGAAAAGGAAACCTGTTGAATAACTACCCGTGATAATGTGGTTCCCAAGGTAACTTCTTTTTCCTATTGATTAACTGTCATGCAAGATCACCTCATTTGCAACTTCATGTGCTTCTGTCTGGTTTCTTAGTCTACCAGGAAAGTTCCAAAAATTGTGCCTCAAATTTATTTGGAAGGAATTATGAAACATATAGTCTAATTGTATTTGCTATAATCTTTACTTTGAAAAAAATACCTATTTTTTAAAGGATTGAAATAAAAGAGAAAAGCATAAATATCTATCGTGTTTATATTAATGTTTTTAAATAACTGAATCCTAGTTCATGGTTGTATTAGCTTAGGCTCCCAGAACAAAATACTATAGAGATCTTAAACAACAGAAATTTATTTTCTCATAGTCCTGGAGGCTGCCAGCATGGTCGGGTTTTGGTGAGAGGTTATCTTCCTAGTTGCAGAAAGCTGCCTTCCTGATGTATCTTCTCGGGGCAGATGCCTAGAGAGACAGCAAGCTCTCTGGTATCTCTACTTAGAAGGACACTAATCCCATCAAGAATGCCCTGTCCTCAAGACCTCTTCTAAACCTAATTATCTCCCCGAAGTCCACATCTCCAGATACCAGCATAAAGGGGCTGGGGCTTCAATATATAAATTTTTGGAGGGAACACAATTCAGTCCTCTGCAATAGCATTTTTGAAATGCTCCCAGTTCCCTTTGCTGTGGCCATTTATTCTCTCATTTAGTGAATGCATACTGAATGCCCGTTGTGTCTAGCTATTTTGCTGCACGGTGAGAGAAAAAGAGCAGAGACAAAAGTCAGCACCTGTTGCAAGTTGTTCATAATCAAGTAGAGAACATTTTAAAAACAAAAAAGAAGAAAAAAGAAACAGCAGTGCAGTAGAAGTGCAAAATAGAAGCATTAGGAGCAGGAGCAGCGCCAAAGAAGAGAGTGCTTAAGAGTTTGTCTGGATCAGGAAGGGCTTCCTGGAGGGAAAAAAAATAGGATATGGGTGTTTTGAAAGATGAATCTGAATTGTTTCAGATAGATAAAAGTGTAAAAGGCATTCCAGGCCCAGGAAAGGTAAGCATAAAAGCCCAAAAGCTTATGTTAAATTCTATTGACATTTATTTAGTATCTCCTGTAATGGTACTGTATTCATCTCTGATTTTCTGAAGCTGAATTTATGCCACAAAAAGCCAATAAGTATATTGAACAGAATACAATACAATAATTGTTGGTTAATGTTTTTAATTGTGTAAGACAGAACTTTTTTTTTTTAGATTTTATTTATTCATTTGACAGAGAGCAAGAGAGCACAAGCAGGGGAAGCTGCAGAGGGAGAGGGAGAAGCAGGCTCCCCGCAGAGCAGAGAGCCCAGTGCATGGCTGGATCCCAGAACCCCAGGATCATGATGAACTGAAGGCAGATTCTTGACTGACTAAGCCACCCAGGCACCCCAAAACAGAACTTTTTTAATTGGAACTTTTATTATGAAAAGTGATTCTAGAGAATAAATTATTAGGTTATAATAAAAGGTCTTATAGGTCTTGGCAAATATAGTACTGTGAGGCAATATTGAGGAAAAAAACCCAAGTAGATAAAAGTTGGAGATAAATAAATTAATCATTAACTGAGCCCCAAGGGGGCAGTTTAAAACAATGATTTTTCAACTCTAACGTCACATTAGATTTACCTAAGTAGCTTTAAAAAATACTGATACCAGGGCCCACCTGCAGAGATTCTGAGGGTCTTGGTCTAGGAACCAATTCATTATTGAGCAGCTGTGAGTTTGTGAACACGCATCTAGAACTTCTTGGTTTCAAGAGATTAAAATCATGAGTACACCTTTGAACTGACATATCATTTCTAAAAATAGACCATAGATTTTGTGTTATTTTAGGCACTGTTGTGCCATTATTTTTAAGGATTCATTCTCCACTTACTGTTTTTATACAACATGTGCTTGAGATACTATTGTGAATACAAAGAAAAAAATATCTCTGCTCTCGGTGGCTCACCGTTTAGTGGGGAAGAGAGGGAGCACAAATGACTGTCGTTTAGCCTAGCGTATCTTGATACAAAGGAAAGAGGAAGGAGAGGCTACGTCCTGTTGGTACTAATTGAATTGATTTTATGGCCAAAGAGCTGTTTATTTCTGTTGTAAACAAAATGTGGTCTGTATCTTCTAACCTTCTTTGAGCGGTGATATCAGACTTCATCTGAGCCTTTGAAATTTTTCTAATAACAGGGATTATTTACTTAACTCTTTCAATATTTAGATGTTAAAGGTGTGTGTGTGTGTGTGTGTGTGTGTGTGTGTGTGTGTGTTTAATGTGTGCTGCCTTTTATTTCTGTTTGAATATTACTGCAAACAACTTCTGTTTGTCCAGATTTACAATCAGGCTAATCAAATCCCACGTTCAAGGGTTGGCATAATAGCTAGTCCGGCAGGCTTCTTTCTGAAATATGACAGCCATGAATGCTTATAATCCATAAAACATGAGAAATTCAATACTGCATGTGTGTTCTTCCTCATTTTTGGTTCAGAAGAATGATCAGAAAAGCTGTACTTTTTCACAGGGCTTTTTAAATAGTATTTGGAAAAGATCTTTAAACCCACTATCAGAAAAGAGGAAGGTCTGTAATGGCTACTGGTGTTGACCTTGTTACTATGGAAACATCTTTTTAGTAGTTTGTGTTTTAAAAATAAAACACAATTCAATTTCCTTTTCTCTAACTCATAAGGCTATAAATTCTGCTTTTTGATATGATTTCAAATATCTTATAGTCCAATGACTTTCAGTTCTCTTTGGAAATAATGTTCATTTTTATCGTATTTTCTAACCTTTTGCTTTCTTAAAAACTGAGGTGGCAAGGCAATTTAATTGCTTTCTAGAAAGTGTGCTAGTATCAAAATGCAATGACAGTTCTTTCTTTTTTTCAAACTACAATTGAGGGCATTATTACTGTGAAAACCTTCATTCTGTGCCTCATTAGTATTCCATTCTTTACATTCAGAATGGAAATGATAGCATGCAGTCCAAATTTACAATTGTTTTCTCTTTATCTAACATCTCTTTTACAGCATTTTAATCCTTAATGTGGTATTCCAAATATAATTCCAAAAAGTGTGTCCGTACTTTCAGCAGGCATTTATGCACATAAAATGTGCCATCTCCAAGGATCTTGAGGCATATTAGTTTCTTTACCCCTTATCCATTCTAGCCATGAAATTCTACAGTTTGATGCTCTCATAAAGAGGATCTAGAGGGGATTAAAAAAAGGATCAGAAAAAAAATTGGTAAAGATAGGGGAATGGTGCATATTTGAAAAAGGAAATATTAGTTCTGTCATACACTACCCATTGATTTTTTTATGATTAAATTATTGCCCTTTTTGTTACAAAAGACAGCAACCATAGAACCCTAACTGCTTAAAAAAGAAAATCTATTATCTCTCATAACTTTAAAATTCATGAATATTCCTGTTATTAGATTTGGTTGCGTTTAAGAGTTTAATCAATGAAATCGGACATGGTTTCTTTTTTTTCACTTTTTGGCTTTGATTCCTGTTTTGTCACCAGTTTCTGGAAGGTTCTCCCCTCATTGTGATGAGATGACAGTGGGACAAGCAGCCTTCATCCATCTATTCAAGTCCAAGTCCATAAAAAGACAATGAGCTTTCTCTTTTATATTACATCCAGCCTTACTTCCAGTATTAGTTCTGATTACCTCCAGTGAGGACCCATTGTGATCCCAAACCCTAACATCATGGCCTATGCTGACTTGCTCAGGTTTATGTTATATGCCTACACTTGATGCTAAGGATATGGTCAGCCCCCCACCCCCTAAAGTACATGGACTGAGAGTAGAGGAAAAGGTGGTCCCAAAGTCAAGGCAATGATGCCAGGAGAAGAAGGAGTAGCCACCAGCATAGTACAAGCTATAGATGTCCACTTCAGCTGACAGGAGGTTGTTGGTAACCTTTAGGAGTAGCAATCAAATGATATGGGTGGACATCAGGTTAGAGAGAATTAAGATGCAAGTGAATGATAGGGAAGTGAATTGGGCAAATACCTATCTCCTTTTGTTTTTTAAGAGCATCAAGGAATGAAAATAACATGACAAAATAGTGGCTTGAGACAGTAAGGTCTCCAACAAATACTTTTTTTTTTTTAACCATGGTAGATATTGAACTTGTTACTTGTTATAAGTCAAGCCATAAGATGGAACCCATGTCCACCAGGAGATCTTGAAAAGTTGGAATTTATAATAAAGAGCAATCCTTAAAGAAGAATTGGGATGCTTCTTCTTCCTCTTGAAACAATAAGATCAAATATAGAGAGTAAAATATGGTTACATTTTGAAGACCAGTGAAAGGCATTTGAATGTACATGGCCAGTAGGCTCTGTTTTTTAGAGATGAGTTTTTTATCTTA